AGTATTTTTCAACTGGTTCAAACTGATGAATTTTGTCACATTGTGCGCATAAATATGTTTGATGTGATTATAATTTAAGAAGCTCTTTGCTGCTCTAAACAATATTCTTTACCTAAAGCACTCGGAAAAAAATCCCATCAAAGCCAAAAACATAGAGTGTTGGCCACTGCTCGGAAAATTTAATTAAACTTGTAACTGAATTATTTCGATATGCAAAGCAAGCCACGACGACGGCGATGACGACACTGCCAAAAACAGAAAATCCAACAACAAAGGCTGCAACAACATCGACAAAAGCCAGCGTGGTAGAAAATTTGTGTAAAAAGCGTAAAATATTATTTGCAATTTTCGCCTGCAAAAATATACGAGTAAAACAAAACAAAGGAGTTTTGCCCTTGCACTGACTACAATTTGGTTTATTTGTTGCAAAGGAGATTTTTTCACATTGCTGAAATAGTTTTCATTGGTTTTACTGCATTATTATTTGCCAATATTTTTTGAGTTCACATTTCCTTTTTTTTCGCTACAAATCATTCAAACTATATAGACATTATATGAATATTCAGCTGCATATTCTGACTTTGGCATTCTGATTTTTAATTGAATTTCCTGGCATAGCTGACCGGTCAGCCGTAGATTTAGTAAATGGCGAAGCAAACAAGCAGAAATCAAGTCCACTCTGCGTATACGTAATATCGGATTGAGAGTTCCGTGATCGCTTGATTGGTTCTCTTCTGATTTTCGCCTGCAATCAATTGTTGAAAATAATCAAATTTTATTCGGAGAGCGGCCTGCTAATTGATATGCATGTGTCGTTTTCCATAGGCTCCAGAAGCGGCGCCAAAATTTTTTCAAATAATTGAAAAAGCCAATGGACAGGCGCCGGTGCAACAAAGCAGCATCAATTTGCCATCGCCAGCCACATTGTGTCCCAAAACCCCGAGCGCCTCCACAGCCACTACCCTATTTTGTGATCACCCCGTCCGCATAAATTATGAAAAGGCCCCGTTTCTGGCATATTTTGATGACATGCATGGCATGTCCGTGTCGGGGGAACTATTTTCTATTTTCGGTTTCCTCTATTTCTTTTTGGAAAAGTCAAATATCCCGCATTATTTACCATGTACTCGTTGCTGTGGCAAACCAAACAAATGTCAAAGCAGTTCTTGTTTGCACTTTTAGTTTGTCAATGCGAATGGATTTGCCATTTCTGTTTGCCTGCCGATGTGCAAAGCAAACTGCAAGTTATTTTAGCACACTTATAGAGGAGCTACCAGTTGACAAATTGTAAATAAAAACCAAGGTTGACAGAGGGAAAGTTCGGATAATGTGACAAAAAATTATTTTAATTACGTAAAAGGGTTTCAAAAATATATGGCTTTTTTTTTAAATAAAGATAAAGATACCGATAAGAACCATTTCGAAATTGCACGCGTGGACAGGCAACACTTCCTTCATAAATTATAAACTAATTAAATGGGCTCACAATTTTATAAAGGGATCGAAGATATTCAAACACTGGCGGATGTTTATATTGCATAATGGAAATTGGTGAAAATTCGATGCATTTTTTGATTGAATGCGTTTTTTGGGCGACCGAAGAATTTTTGCGCTCCTGTATATTTTATAATGATTAAAATTTGTTGTCATAAAGCCGCACCGGCGAGTCCACCAAAAAACTCCCAATCGCCACACATTTTCGAGTCATTTTATTAACTTTTTATTGAATTTTTCATAACCGTAAGGCATTGGTTGGCGGGTTTGTTGATTTACGTGCTACTGTAAAATGTGTGGGGAAAAAGCTGAAATTTAAGCTTTCCGGTTGCTTTAAAAGTTATTAAAGGATGTGCAATGGGAACTTTTATCCCCTGGCCACTCGATGTAATTCTTAAACAATTTCTTATGCTATTTTGCAGCTTCGTTCGCCGGAGCGAGGATAGCAAAAACTAATTTAGAAAATTGTTTTTAGCCTCTGTTGCTCGTCCCCGTCCCTCGGCTTTTGCCTTTGCCCCGGGCAAGTGAGAATTTCCTAGAGCGCCTGAATGAATCTAATAAAGAAATTACTCCAGACAGGATAGCCGCCAAGGACGTCGCCTACACTAAATAAAATCTCGGCGTTTTTCCCCCACGATGTCGCCAATGGTTCGGCGTCGCTGTAATGAGCTGAATACAAAGTGCGTGCCTCGAATCGAGGGAGCCCTAAATCGCTGTTTGCTCTTAGCCATAACATGAATAATTTAAAAAACAAGGGCGAAACGATTTGCGACGTGCGCCCAATACACTTTGCCGTTGTAATTGCAGATGTGTGAAAAGGATCGGCGGCGGGGTGGCAAAAGGACATTCTAGCCCGGCTAATAGCCGCAAACAAAGGCATCGGCCATTCAAGCATTCAATTCACCAATTTGCGCTTAATGCCCGACTATGCCTAAATGGCCAAAAAGACAATGTGTTTGCTCCCCAGGGGAAAGAACCAGGTATCTTAAGCACACGTGGCTCTGCTGTGCCTCCAATAAATAAGTCTTGATGGCAAAAATTGCCGATTCAACTTATTCGTATGCTCGAGATGGCAAAACAGTTGCCTGACTTATTCATGGGGGCTTCAGCCACCATTGTTTTTATTGGTTACCCATTAAGTTTATGTTGTATCGAGGCGACAGCTTTTCGCATTTGTTTGATGGGGAGAGGTCCCTTTTCTAGTCATTCGAAAAAATACTACTTTACTTTCTTAAATGCAGAAAACAACGAATTGTTTTTGTCTTTAAATGGTATGTTTTAAATGCACTGTTTCGTGATAAAAACTTCCTCGATGATGACCAATTGCGTGGATATTTCCCCCGTACAGATTACATTCAGCCGGAAGCCCCTTTTGTTTTCGCATCTGAAACAAACTGGGTGGCACCGTTTATGCCAACAATTAGCCGCATCCAGCTGCAGTTACACGCCCATTTAAGCCAGTTCTCAGTGAAAGCGTTAGATGCCACAGTAATGTGGACCAAGTACACTCCGTTTTGTCCGAAGCCCGCTTTGTTTGTGTCGCCGGGACTTTAATTGCGAAAACATTTTCAAAAGTTTTTCATAAATTTCTCGCACTTAACCGAAAGTACATAACGCAAACAAAAGTAAAGTAAAGTGTGTGCTACTTATACAGCTTATTTTGTGTGTGCGTGTGTGTGTGTGTGCGTTGCAGTTGCAGCATCAAACTTCGCTGCAATGGCGGCAATGCACATCAATAAAACGAAAATTGCTGCAGAATGGTGCACAATTGTCCCGGGAACTGAAAGGCGCTGGGCTCTGTATGTGTGTGCAAGTGTGCGTGTGTATGGGTGGGTGGGTGGTAAAGGGGCGTGGCTGGCTGGTGCCATTGTTGTTGCATTTGCTGCAGCAGTGAAAACAATCGAAATTATAGCAAACAAGCGCGTAAACTTTTCGCTTTCATGGTCGGATATATCTATATATGAATGTGTGATTGTGTGCGGTTGCCGAGGGAGAGTGTGTTTTCGGTGTGTGAGTGTTGTGTTGTGTGCGTATTTGTGTGTGTGCGGCTTACAGTTTTATTGCTGTTCTGCTGCGGCTGTGGCAGAAAGCAGACATTAAAATGCCTGACAAAAAGCGCCGCCAACTGGCAACCTAATACCAATACACACACGCACACACTGCCATTTGTAATCGCGATGGCTCTTTGGATTTGTCTGTGTCTGTGTGCTAGTGATGGCTAAATCATCATTTTCAGTATTTTAAAATCTTTAATAAAATTGGTTTTTCATTAAAACAGGCTAAATAAAAAGGTTATTTTAAAAACATACATTTTTGAGGGAAATTGTAAAACTTTTTTACTAAATTAGACAAATCTCTTGAATTATAATTAAGTTGTGGAGATGGGTATATCGAAAATAATACTTCTTTTAACTAAATAGATTTTTCGGTAATATATTTTTGTCTAATCCAGGATAATCCCATTTAAAGATACCCATCTCTAGTTCACGCGGTTGCTTTTTATGTCAGCGGCTATTTTTGCAACCGTTTTTTATTGCAGCTCTTGATGACGAGCGAACTGCGCTCATTTGCGTGCACATTTTCAAAGCACACTTTTTGGGGCCGTGAAAAAATATGTGTCAACAAAAGTTTTGGTTTTCCAGCGAATTGTGTCCGCTCAGCCTCTCCAGCTCTCCAATGCCGTTGTTGCCACAATTTTCTGGTGTTCTGTGACCGAATCTAATGGCACTGGAGGGAAACTCGGGCAGACAAAACCTGCCTGCAATTAGAGACTCCGGAGGAAGTTGGGGACGAGTATGTTCGAGAGCAACCCTTTTTGGCAGTTGCCGAGAACTAGTTATGCTGCCATAATTAAATGTAAATTATCGCCATGTGTACAAAACTGTTGCCATGTTTACTTATTTATTTGCGAGTTAATTAGTTCGGAATGTGTTCCGAAATCTGGTGACTTTTCCTGTTCTGTCGGCATTACAAACCACGTACAAGAAATGTAATTATTTTCATTACACCAACAATGCGGACAAACACATCCCACCCAACACCCAACAAACAACCAATAAAAGCGTACACCCAAGCAAAAGACAACAATGCCAAAAAAAAGGAGAGAAAAAAAAACATGTCGTTGGCGTTTTCAATACAAAGCCAGAGTGTACGGCTTTTGTTTACTTTTGACATTGACGGCTCTTATTAATGTAAATGACGTCGACTGGCATAAAAAGGCGACCTTCTGTAATTATAATTAATACGAAAAGAACATGAGTTCCCTGTCCCTATCCCTGTCCACCATTTTCCGTGTGAATGAGCTCCGTTGACCCGAAACCAATACAGGAAACCAAGAAAGTCTTGGGGCAGGGGTGGGTTAAGTTATTCCGACAGGACCTCACAAATTGCGTCTTTCGCGGCATTAAAAATTCCATTAGCTGCAAACTGCCCGCATTAATTAGTCCCGCAAACAACTGATAGTAATTGTGGTTCCCCATCCCCCTGAATATCTCCCCAGGACTTACCGAAGACGCGTCCTGCCCGCGAGGCAGGCAAGGGGGCCAAAATCAGGAGCAGCACAAAGCCAGGAATGATGAGCCCTCGATGATTTCCGTATTCGGCCGATATGCGCAGCGTCATTTTGTTTGATGCAATTGGGAGTGATTTTTTGTTGGGTTTTTTTCTCTTTAATCTAAAGCAATTTTTGCGGTGGTTTTCGTTGCGTTTTTTGTTGGATTTGGTTAGGTTTGGTTATGCTTCTCTGCCCTTGGGCTTTTTCGAAATCAATTTACATTTATTTTTTGTTTATTTTCAGCGCCAATTAAGCTATGTTTGCGTTATGAGCTGATGCGTTTATAGTTATTCAAGATTGGTTCGGCATAGATTTTTGTTTGCACCGATTTTGGCTTTAGGTGATCATTTTGAACGAGCTGCAAATACGAGAGTGGAAAACGGAAATTAAAGCTTTGGCAAATAGAATCACATTTGATTTGCTTTCTCTATTGGTTTTAGACTTTAATTAAATAAAGGTTATTTGTTGAACAGTTTTATTTACGGGTGCTTAAAAGCACTGTTTACTTAAAGGTTTTCAACTGGCTCCTTGAATTATTAATATTAAACTAATTTTTACTAACTTTTTAAAAATATATAGCTTTTCCAATATACAATGACTCATCCGCTTTATTTCCTAGCTTAGGTAAATAGCTGACTTTTCATTTGGCGACGATTTCGGGTGTGTACATATGGCAACGTTTTTTTCAATTTTCAATTTACGCGACTTTTACGGTCTCCTAAAGTCCCCCAGACACTATCCCTTTCGTTTTAGTTTTTGCGGCAGCGAAATTAACTAAAGATGTCAGTCCCGAGCAGCGGGGAGCATAAAGCTCTCATGTTTCCGTGTGTGTGCATGTGTGTGAGTGTGTGTGGGCCAGAGTTTATATGCTGAAAATGAATTTGGCATTTTTACAACAAGCGAGAACAGCGGCGCTCTCGGAAGTCTGACAGCATAAAATGGAGTGAAATCTCTGCTGGTGGTGTGCAGTCAACTAATGTGGGCAAAAGGGTGGTGCAACGGGTGCTGGTGGTGTTGGTGGTGGTGCAACTGTGTGGGTGGGCTGTAAAAGCGGGCTCACAGTAAAAGTGAAATGCGCCAGAGGCGGGCTGCACATTTAATGCGGCAACAGTTACAACATGTGGCAGCAAATGGCGATTGCTGTTGGCCCAAACAACTTGGCTTTTCACTATAAAAACGCTGAGAGAGTTGCCCTTAAAGCTGCCACGCCCCTTCTGTCTTCTGCGCCCCCTTCAACTTTGGCAGCATCTCGTGCAGCAGAAACTACAGCAGCAACAACAACAATAAAGCAACACTGACAACAACGCAGCCCGCCGCACATTGCACATGACGTAAATGTTGTGGTTGCTTTTAAAAACTTTGTTTTAATGTGTTTGCTGCCGGCTGCAAGTTTATTTTTTGTTAACCCCCTTGGCGATCCGTCCGTGTTGACGTTAAAATTTAAAGTTCAAATTTGTAACTTTCACGGGAAGTTTCAATGAAAACAAAGTGAAGTGCAGAAGGTACATAGTTTAAAACCTTAGGCGTTGCAGTTGTTTTTCGCACAGATTGTTGCAATTTTCTGCTTTAACAGGGCCACAAACACCATTTCTGATATTGCCTTTTACTTTTTTCAACCATATTCACAAATATTTCTGATTAAAAAAAGCCAAAGGAGTGCCTGTAAAATATTACACCGGCCGCAGGTGGTAATTGAAGTTATTTTCGATATTACACACCTTTGGATTTCGCGTGGGCAAAAACACGATGACTTTTTTACAGACACCACATTGTGTGCTCGTATGAATACCCGTTCAAAAAAAAACTCATTTTGTGTAAATAAGTTTTTCATGACAGCTTTTTTTTTTGGTTATTGGTTTTGGCCGTGGCCAGGAAACAACATTAACGTAAGTTTGTTTGACTCATATTTAAAGGAAAAGCTTTTTAAAATTGTTCACATTTTTTTTCCCTAAATACGGCTTTGATTGACTAACGAGAATTTTCACAAGAGCCATCGATTTAGGGAGGAGTCTAAAAATATTCCGGTAGTTTTTTTCTCTAAATACTTCTATGATTGATTTTTTCTTCGAAAATTTATTTATCATTCATATCTTGACTTATGATTTATCACCGATTGGAAAGGTTAACTACTTGTACAAAAATAGATTTAGAACTGTGTTGTTGATACACCATTAAAAAGCTATTATTATTTTCCAAAGACAACGAGGGTTCTGTAATTCTCAGAAAAGGTGGTCGCCTAATGAAGACATGGGCCAAAGAAGCCCATTAATAGTAGCGGCTAGACGACCTCAAATAGTCAACGCCTTACGCTAAGCACCTTAACGACAATTGCCCCCTCGGAAAACATTCTCATCTCCGGTGGCAGTCCGTCAGCAGTCAGCAGTCAGCAGTGAGCAGTCGTCAGTACCGCCACTCAACAAGTTAGCCCGGCCAAGCCAACCCCGCCGGAAAATAGAAAACACGGAGGGCTGCCACCCAAATCCAGTTCGTAATGACCGGTTGCGGATTGCAGAGTGGCGCAATGTGCCGGGGGCAATTAAAGTGCCTCGGCACTTGTAGTTGTGCTCGTGCAACATTTTCTCAATTTTCCACATAATTCCGAACGCGCTTTCCACCCGCCTTCCACCCGTTCTCCCTCCCATCTGTTCTTGGCCATTAGCCCCTTTGGGTCCGCAGACAGTTCCGAGCCGCTTTCATGCCCGAATGCCCCAAACAGCGAGCGGAAAACAGCGAGGAGCGTTAAGTAGCTGGATGTCAGTAGCCGATTTGCAGTTATGACAACACCACTTCCAAGTGCAGTGGCTCTCGTTTGGGGGCAAACTTTAAATTAAACAGTAGCAAAAGGCACGAGCTGCCAGTCGAAAGCAGCGGGAGATGTGAGTGATGACACAGGGAGAAATTAATCCAAGAATTGGGATTAGAATGCGCTTAATGATTTACATAAATTTAAAAAAATTACAATCATTGTGAGTTATGATTTTAGTTAACAATCTCTTACTTGTAAGTCATTCTACAATTTACAAATATAGTTAGTTGCATTTCAATGTAAGATACACTGAATAAAAACAAAAAGCTCGGAAGCTGCTGTAGTGCCAATTTTGCTGCGTGTATACGTTAAAACAGGGCAGCGAGGAGCGAAAAAATATGGCACTGCATTTGCCATGAGGCATGAGGCATGAGGCACGAGGCAGGGCAACAAGCAGCCCGGGAATTGTCGGAGTAGAATCATACAAAATATGCAAAGGACAGCAGCAGCAGCAACAGCAGCAACGGCAACAGCAACAGAAGTTGTAATTTACAGCTTATTTACGTTGGAATAAAAAATGAATTAAGACAACGAACCAGCAGCATGACAGCAGCTTCCTCGTTGGCCAACTCGCAAAAGGTAAATGCATAAATAAATCAGGCAAAGTCCAGCAGCAAAAAAATGCGAAAGAGTGGAGCAGAAGTTAGAGCGGGTAAATGCAGGAGGAATATAATTAAATGCTTTGACATGAAAGAAAAGCAGTCGGCTAAATGGGAATGCTGGAACTTGGTTAATTAGCACGGCCAGAGGTGTCGCGAATGTCCTGCAAGGACATTCATTTCGAATGGATTGAGTCAGCTTAAATTTCAAGCAGAAACAAACGCGGAAAAACACGTGTCAAGTGAGTGTAATATCGGGAGGACCTGTCTACTCTCCACTCTCTGGTTGCACCGCAGTCGCCACTTGGTGGCACATATAGATGGAGATTATAATGCCAGACGGCTCACAATGGGTGTGCGAAAAATAGAGAGAAAATAGAAATAACAACTGCAGCAGCTTAAGTGCAACTGCAGTGGCTGCGCGACTCAAGTGCTGCTGCTGCTGCCACAAAGCTGCTGAAAGCAAAGCACGCCAGACAAACCAACCTGCCACCCAGCCACCCAACCACCTAACCACCCAACAACAAGTTGCCTTTGTTGCAAGCGCAACTGCAATTGTTGCCGCCATGAAAGCGCAATATAAATTGCAAGTGCAACAATGAAATTATTACACATAGCTCTTCAGCGGAATTTATCACATGCCAGCCACACACGCCTAATCATCGTGTAAGCATTACTGCAAACTGCAAAGGACACTTGACTAATTCGCTTTAGATTCGGTTGCAGCCTGAATTTATTTTATTATTTGCTGATGTTTGCCATTTGGGCACGTGCCGCAAATTCTAAAATAGTTGAACGTGTGCCGCACTCGAGCCAAAAATCCCTTTCCTTCGCAAAAGGTTAAGCACACAAACACTCTCGTTTCCAGGGTCCAAGAACCATTTTTGCGCTCCGCTGGCTTTGTTGACAAACATTTTTTGAGTGGGGCAAACATAATGCGAAAGTGTAGTCGAGGCAATAAGAGCTGCTTGCCGAAATCAGCGCAAATTTAGTGGCAAAGCAAATAAATTTATTTTAGTTTTCCTAGCCATTGTTGTTGATTTTATTTTATTTTGTTTTTTTTTTTTTTTTTTTGGTTTTTATTCTCCGTTGCCGACGAAATGTCTCAAGTCGCTGGCTGGCTTTTATTGCCCCAACAAATGGCAGCCATGGAATTAAGAAAAATGGCGCAAAAAGGGTTCTCGGCTTGGTGTTTGTTCAATGGCACATACAGTCGATCGGATGGCCTTTTGTTGTTTTCCCCCAAGCTCCGCAAAGTCCCTTCTAACAATAATGTCGGCTATTAGCGGCAGGGCATGACCGAATCCTGGGTCAGCAGTTTAAAATAAAACTTTGTTCTAAAGGGTCTTTATTTTCGACCGAAATGCCAAACCAATTTCTGGGCCGGCAAGCCGAGTAACCGACTAACCAACCGCCCCCAACACTCACTAATTAAACTAATTAACTGAGATGGCCGAGGGATAAGTTGCCCGAAATGTCTTGGCCAACTCGCCTCGAGACGCAAATTGAAAGGGAAATCGTACCACAAAGTGGGTCAGCATAAATCCAAACCCCCCCGAAATGCAAAATATGCTGCAGTACGACTGTGGGGATTTTTTCACTAGCTCCCTCCATTATAAATCGCTTAGTTATGCTTGTGGGTCAAGCTGAAACCAAATCGGGAAATAACCACCTTTTGCTGGTTTTTATGTTCTGCAGCCCAAGATCTTCGACTAGTTACTGGTTATTCCTCGAGATCTTTGATAGTTTGGATTGGACTGGTACTCGCCAAGCACACGAACACAAATAAAAACTTAACACGGAACTCGACACTGACTGCCTCATTTTATTAGACTTTTTATCATTTGTAAATATGCATGATTATACTGGCGTTCACTTGAGAAATTCGCCTGCTTTTTAGTGGCCTGGCTTGAAGCACTTTTCGGGGCCTTTTGGCCTTTTTGGCTGAGCCGTTCAGCGTCAGGATAAACGCGCACACACGCGACGCGAACGCACGAAGTCCGGCAGCGCCAGCGGACACATCCTTACGAGCGCACAACAAACACGAAACTGAGCCGCTTCGTTTTTGCGCAAATAAATTCCCAGCTGAAAGTCAGAAGCCGTCGCACACCACCCAAAACCCCCCTTCTCAAAGGTCGCTGGTTCGTGGCCGCCTTCGGGTTTCCAGCGGCTTTCACCACACACAAACGGCCATCTCGCGAAGGCCCGAGCCTCTGTTACCTAGATTTGTGCGCGGGTGGACGCTTCGGCTTCGTCCTGCCGAGAGCGGCAGGACTCTCCGGGAGAGCAGCCGAGAGCTCGGGCTGCTGTTCCACTTTCGACTCCGAAACCCACCACGATTGACTCCGAATAGCGGCGGCCTTATCACTGATAAGAGAAGCGCTCTTCGGCCAGCGTGACCTGCTCAATCGCTCAGGTGTCGAGTGCCAGGGCACAATGTGAATTGGACCTTAGACGGAAGCTGATTGTGGAAAATATAATGCACTAACAGAAGGTCCTAACTCCGAGGATAACAAATTTTATCATTAGAAATAGATATAGAGCTATTGTAGTTGGTAAAAAAATATGAAAATATAAACACCAGTATATTAAGGATAAACTTATTAATATTAAAAAGAATTAAGCTCAGAAAATGTTTGCTAACATGCTGTTTAAATTCGAAGTTATGTTAACGGCCCGAGTCTAACAAACACAAACCCTTCTGCTGTGTACCTTCAAACAATGTTATTCATTCGAAGAGTTTCGAGCACCCCTGAAATATCCATAGCAGTAATATCGAAAATCCTGTTTACCGTTAACATAAGTCCTTTGACGTGAAGTTCATTTAACAGAACATTTAACTGCAGGAGAGGGTTTCGAAATCGCTTTCGATTTTCGGTTCCTTCTTGGCAACTGTAATGTAAAATGTTATAACATTATCGAAACTCAGCCAACAGCATAAGCTACCCCTGACACATTATCTTATTCTTCGAAAAGGACATTCGTCCTGTTGAGGTCCTCAACTGTTAAGGAAACAGAACAATGTGTTCGTGGGGTAAATAAATGTTCTCGTCGTACCCACAATGCTATTACTTTCCTTAGCCTGCTATTTAACATCTGTTAGTCTGCGTAAGTAAGTTGTTGACTTTGCTTTACTTTGGTGAAGAAAAGGTAAAAGAAAAGAAATTTTATTACCTTTAAGTATTATTTGGCAGTGGCGTCGACTTTAATTTTAAGTAAATTATGAGCTTCACCTTGAGCAAGTTTACAAAATGTTAAACATTTTTTGTCTGTTCAAAACCCAATGAAAATCATATTTAAAATCGTTAATCTCAACATATCAGAAAACAGCGCTCTGCAATGGTGTTTCTCCTTTCTCGATATACGAAATGCTTACATTTGCTTAGATAACATTCGGCATGTTACCTTCGAAAATTAGTAACATTTCTATAGCAGACCCATTTGCTGTTATGTTCGCAGGAGAACAAACTGTGAACTACCTTGTTTTTATTACTTAACAGAAATGTTTTCAGTTTTTTACTTACATTTTCGAATTTTTTTTAAAAGGTTCGAATGAAGTTGGCTGTAAAAATGTGTAGCTAACAGAATCTGGTATGTTGCTTGCTTTGGACTTTATACTGACGTGATAACATTAAAATGTTACTGTTTTGTATTATTATTGAACAATTGAATCTTTACTGGTTGCCTTTATATAACTAACTACTAAATCCTTTATAATTAAGGTTCCCTTCATCTAAATATATCTAAAACAATTCAATCTGCCATGTCTGACAATATTGCAATAATCGAACCAATAATTTGTTGTGCTGATCAACCCGCAACTTCCGCAATTATCAGAGTGCAGCAGGCACCTGCCCCTAAACGATGGCCACGCCCCCTCGAGCCAGTCAATCGCCCACAATTTAATAGCCATAAGGACATTGAGTGTACTTCTTACCCCCACCTCCAGCTCGAACATCCTGGTGCAACTGAAGTTCCGAAAACAGAGCTCAAAACCCACCCTCAGGAAGCCAGCATTGCAATCGTGTTCGCAGTCCTGTAATCGCAGGCTCTTCATGTTGTTGCCGTTGTCAACGCCTCTTAAATGGAGCAAGGGGACATTAAGGATCAACCCCTAAGCGAAACCAGCGACGATTTATAACAAATTTTAAATTGCAAAAAATTGCAACGTTGATAAGGGGTCGGGAACTGCTGTCGCTCGAAACCAAAACTAATTCGCAACAAGCGCAATAAAAATTATGAACAATAGCGGAAATTAGCCATGGCATCAAAACTGGATGAAGGGAGGGGAGGGGAGAGTCACTCGCTCTGCGGTTTTTCGCCAACTGACAGCGCAGCGAAATGCCAACCAATGCGTGACGAATGCAAGCTGCACCAAACAAATGGGGAAAGTACACAGAAAGCGAAGCAAGTTGAATGGGATACATTTATGCACCAAACTCCTGATTCTTTAGATAGGAAGATTGCCAACTGTTTGTATGTTAGAGATTGAACAACTAAAAGCAAACTGATTCAATGAATTATAGTTGCAAATTTAGATCACTAATTTCGAAGGCAACGAATTATTTATGATCTACTTTTACAGAGTTTTTATTTGAATTAATAATTAAATAAGTTGTAAAAAATATATTAAAATCCTTTTTTTTTTTGTGTACTTTAAGGAGGAGCTCGTGCGATCACAGTTGACATTAGGGAATAACACTTTCGCCGGGGGCCGGAAGTTCAAGGGGGCGAAGTTCACGGCCCCCCCGGCAAACACAAACTTTAATTAGCAACTTTTTCGATTTTTTTCCATTCCATAGTCAGCCATGTTGCGAGTCCACAGCCGCGTTTGAGTGGCTGTTGCAGCTTCCGGCGCTGCACCTTTCTGCCCCCGGGCACATGTTCATGGTAAGTTGATACCGCTCTCCATGTATATATCTATACACAGCCCTGTGTGTGTGTGTGTGTGTGCGGAAAAGTTTCCTTCTCGGCTGGGATAAAGGATACTGATGCTGCTGCTTCGAGGGCGAATGACACTTGACAGTGATTTATGGCCAGGGCCACTGATAACCCGCCAAAACCAAATCCAAAGCCGAACGGCAAGTGCAAATCCAGGGCGCAGGGCTCTCGATTGTCTCACCAGACTCACCCCTCGTATTCCAATTTATCTATATCTATATATTTAGATATATTTCCATGCCGCAAATGCTGCAATTTCGAGCCAAAACGCTCGCATGTGCAATCATTTTTTATCGCAAATCTCCCGCTCTCCACATCAGAACTCTAAGCGGCTGTTGCGAATCGCTGTCATGTGGCGAGGTCCTGTTCCGCCCCCTCGCCCTCTTACCACCACCCGCCCTCTTTCGACTGCCCAGCGGGGTGTTAAATTGCCGAGGCTGCTGCCTCAATTTCAGCGTCATTCAACGCCATTAACCTTCTGTCAATTTCAATAAGTCAGCGCCGCAAAAAACCAGCCTGCCATTCATGAAAATCTGCTGCAATTGCCGAGCGATGCGAGAGTCCAGATCTAATACAATATTGATAAGGCGAAATGCAAGTGACCAAGTCGAGAAAGCCTGTCAGGTCGGACATGCATGTCCTAAATTATACTCATCTCGGTTCTCGCTGGCAAACCACAAGGGATGGTTGAAATATAAATGGACATTGTAAATGCTAACAATTTTTAAGTCCAACTTCTGCACTTGATGGCCTGTTGAAATTTTACACAAGCGAAGCGTAGAGTTTCCTCTTCCAATTGAACGAAATGCTTATTTTCTGGCATATAACCCTGCTTTTATCTCTCGTCCGCATCTCTCTCAATATTATTTAGCTTCTACCTTCTGTGGTTCATTTCGTAGGGCTTTCAAAAGTTTAAGCTTGAATAAGCAATAAAGAAAATATTTTCTGTACTTGCTTCGAAACTGTTTGAAGATGAATTTAGTTGGATTAAAAAATTTATTCGATTTTTAGGAGTAGTTGTGGGAAATTTGATGGAAAAGATTAAAAACAGTATTATTAAAAAAGGGAAACAACCACATCTCTAAGCTTAATGCAAACGGAAATAAATATTTATTTGTAACCTAGTTGTTGTTAACAATTTTAAATACAAATAAAGCATACAGTATCAATATTTAATACTTTTTTTTAGCGACAGTTGCAACTTAAAATTCCGGCGAAGTGACAAACCGCGAAACAGCGAACTTGGCTTCCCCCACATCGATCGCAGTGCTTTCCACTATTTTCCACTGTTTTGTATTTTTATCCCAGGTATTTGTATGCCGCCGCACACACCTTTTCTGACCGCATTCCCCAGGCGGCGGACATCGGGCCGTTCGTTTGGTGGCTGCGCTTGTTGCCATTTCCGCTTCCGTTTGCCGCTGTCGTCGTTGTCATGTCTACATGTCCTGCGTCCTGTGCTCTGCGCTGCTCTGCTCTGCATGTGTGCATATGTATGTGTGTGTGTACGTTGCGTGTATGGCCTGTGTGTGTGTTCGCCGTGTTGCACATAAATCGTTTAAAATAAAGTGATAATTGCATTTGTGTTTCAACTGTCAAACTGACGTCAGTCCAGGGAAGTCCTTTGCAGCTGTGCGCGTATTGGTGAGCCGCGTCTGTGTGCGTGGCTTAACGGGAACTGCCTGCATTGTCGAGCAGGACATTTTATGAATGTCGCCGCCGTATGAATAATTGCGATAGCAGCCAATTTGAATGGCCCCCATTCCATTTTATACCATTCTATCCAGCCGCGATTCCTTCTCGTTTTGCCCAATTTCGGGGGTTGTTTACGGGCCGCTTGCATGTTTTAATTTCAGTGTCACTGTGAAGTGGATTAAAGTATTTCCATCGGATTACAACCTAAAACGAGTGCAACCCTCGGAAGTTATGCCGCCCAGCGAGTGCACTCCGGGTTTCCCAGCCGACAAACGCACTTTTTCCTGTCTTCAAGCACTAAGAGAAATATCCTTTTATCATTAAAATTTAAGGTGTATGAAAAAATTACCTGTATCTAATAGAAAACAAATACTATTTAACATGGAGATATAGAAACTTT